ATAAATATAATTTTTTTTCATAAAAGGAATATATATAAAATTTTAATTAATAATAAATATATTTTTATATATCTTTATAATATTTTTATAACAGCGTCAAACAAAAATTTGATAAGTGACTTCAACATGAGGTAGTAATTATTTTGCCATCTTTCCACTCAATTAGTGGTGTGAAGACCGAAGAGGATAGAATCCATGACCATGGAAAAAAAACGCACATACACCTAAGTTTGAAACTCTAGCTTGGTCGGCAAATCTCTTGCAGATTTTGTTGTTTCCATCTTGGAGTTGGTTCATTTTCAAAGCCAGACGCATCTTCGGTGATAGCTTCAACTAGTTCTAAAATTTTAGCATTTTCTTTTATTCACAAGAAGGGTTAACTCTGAAAGTTTAAATGGTTGTTTCAGTCCCCTAACTAAAATAGTTTAATGATTTCTTCAAGTAAAGAGTAATTAATACAGTATTTTATTTTGGCAGGAGCAAACTAGGAGTTCAAATGAGTTTGGTTGTCCATTTTTGTCTTTAACGTTCCTTTTGCAGATGCACCTATCCGTGACGTAGGAATGTAGTTCAATCTAGCAAGATTTCCATAGAAATAACAAATCTTGTCGGTAGGACCACGGGAAAAAAAATCATATCTTGTGGGTGCAGCTAAATTTGCAGGATTAGAAGATTTTATCTGGATGTCTTTTCGTTAGCTAACAAGCATTTGGTAACTATTTTTTTAAGTGATTTTAAGAATGCGTTTATCTATAAAACAAATGTTTATTTATTCTATCTCTTAAAATTAAAATAAAATTTATTTCAAAACTCTCATTTAAAAATATTACTAACATATTATTAATATATTTTATTTTTAAAATATGAATTAAATTGTTATTTTTTAATATTTTATTAAAATAATATAATTTTAAAATAATTTTTTTAATTTTTAAAAGATAAAACATATAAACACTAACATCAAAATTGAAACCCAAAATTTATTGTATAATAACATTTATTTTGAATAAGTTTAATACTCTAAAGTTAATTTATTGACAGATGGATTTGCTAAATGTAGCAAATCTTGCTCGCAAGGCTCCACCAAAATCTATAGCGAGATTTGTGAAAACAACAAATCTCCTTTTTTTTTTTTTGGTTATTTTTATTTTGGCTGTTAAGATGTCTTTACATATTTTGAAAATTGAAATTAATTTTTTTAAACAATATAAAGAATGCACCCCTACCAACATGATGTATTTAAATATTTTTCAATGTTGGCCCCTTTAAAGTTGAATGTTGATTAGATCCTATTGTTTTGAAACCCAGCTTGATTCGGTTGGTTTAATTAGCTAAATTGAATTCAGTTCTAAAAATGGGTCGGATTATGATAATAATTTGTTTAAAATCAAATCTAATCAAAACTCATTCAAACTTAGTCAAACTTGGTTAAACTCATCCAAACTCAGTCAATCCAGTTGACTTGGCCGATTCGACTCTTTATTTTTTTTATATTTTTACTTTTTTTTCTTTAATTTTTTATATTTTTATTTATTTAATTAATAGATAATATAATAATTAAATTGTAAAATTTATTTAAAATCAAATCACAATTAATGAATAAAATTTTTTAAATTAATTTAAATACAATTTAAAATTATATTACTATTTCAAATTAGAGAGTGATTTGAATTTAGAATCAAATTAATTTGATTTTAAAAATAAAATAAATAACTACTTTATATAATGAAATGAGTGAAATCAATTTAAAATTAAAACTAATCTCAAGTAATTTTGGAAATAAAATCAATACAACGAAAAAATAATTTTATAATTAATATGATGTCAATGTTTTATATGCTTATTAAAAAATATATATTATGCATTTTAATAAATTTAATGAATGAAATTAATTTTAAAGTAATAAATTTTAAAAATAAAGTCTTAAAAATTAATAATTATTTTGATCAATAAATATAAAAATAATTTCAATCAATTTTAAAAATAAAATTAATTAAAGCAAAAATAATTTATAATTGATAAAGTGCATTAAATGGCATTTATTATGTTGGCTGGTTAGCTTGATTGGTTAGACCGATCCAACTAGTTAAACTAAATCTAATGACTAAAACGGGTTGATCTCTTGATCCTACTTAAATGAAGGTTCATATGGTGAGATGGAGTTAATAAATATGTAAAGATCTTACATTGAATAAAAATAAATTGTTAAAATACGATATATAGGGAAAAGTGCATATTAATATCGATATTAAAAAATAATTGAAGTCTTAATATTAAATTACGTCATTTTATTTAATTAAAACTCAATTCAAAATTTTAAAAATTATCTTATTAAATATTAATATTTAGATTTAGAAACTAATGATATTAGAATATATAATTGGTTTCTAAATCTAGATATAAATATTTAATAGGATAAGATTTTAATTTTTAAATGTAAATTGAGATTTCAATTGTTTTTAAAAATTAAAACTGATACACACTAATTACATATATATATATATATTTATATATGTATATATGGAGGTCCATAAGATATATTTTTTAAATTTAAAATAATATATTCGCAGATGTATTTGTATATTCTTCCACGTACACTCCCAAACTGAGTTTGGCCTGATTAACTCCCCAACATAACCTTACCTAAAAGATATCACTCATGAGTGAATTCTGCCACACTTAGCAAATCTTACTGCAAGCTCCGCCAATTTTCCATTGTAGGAGTGGAATCTTTAGCAATATTTCTATATAGTCAACAAAATTTATTTAAACAGACAGATATTTTCACGTCATTTTTTTTTTCTATATTTCGAGATTTCAATTTTTGTTCATCTTAAGATTAATTCTTCCAAATGTGACCTTTAAAGCATATCTTTTATTCCCTTTATTCTAAAATAATAATTATTTTTTTACTTTAAATTTATTTCAAATTAATTGTCTTTTTTTTCAATTTAGACAGTGATATAGAGACAACATTTTTGTACCATATTTTTATACAACTTTCATGTGTTATTAAAAAGATAGATACATTTTATATCACGGATCCCAAATAATAAAAAGAATCAATCATTTTATTGATACGTTAAATTTTATAAAAATATGGTACAAAAAAATTGTTCATAAATTATTTTCCTTTTCAATTTTCAAAGTAGACAAATATTTTTTTTCCTACCTTAATCTTGTTATTATTTACTAACTTTAATTAATCATTTAATCATAATTTTTTTGTTTTTTTAAATGTATTATAAATAAATACAAATATTGTCATCAAAACTTTAATTAAAAAAATAAAAAAAAATAAATATTTTAAACAAAAGGAGTATTATCTTGGTGATTTAAAAATATTAAATTTGTTTAAATAATATTTTTTAAGACTAAAATTTCAAAATTAACTTAAAAGATAATATTAATTTATTTATCAGTGACATTATGCTTAATTAATTTATTGAAAGATTTGCTACATCTTTCCTTATTATTTTTTTTTTAGAAAAAAAAAGATTTGCTACATCTCGCTGAAAGCTCCACCAACTTTCTATTTTAAAAGTGAAATCTATAGCAAGATTTATTTGAAAACAACAAATCTTGTTGTGGGGCATCATGCCTTTTTTCGATCATATTAAAATTGTGTCAAATTTTAGTGAACTTTAGGAGTAATAATTCCTGAAATTAAATTTTAAGATGAAAGTTTAGAATTGATCATATAAGTTTGTATGAGAATAAATACAGTAATTATTATAAGAGGTTAGTAAGTATCAAACTTGACTCTCAGAAAACTTAAAATTTTAATATATATTTAGAAATCGAAATCTTAATTCAAAATTTACAAATTTAATTAGTTTTTAAATTTAAATATCAATATTTAACAAAATAAATTTTTAAATTTTAAATTGAGTTTGAATTAAACAAAACAATATAATTTAATGTTAGAATTTAAAATTTTTTTAGAATCAAGGTTGATAGGTATTTTTTTCATATTATAAATTTATCTTAAATTTTAGTCTTAAAAATTAATTCTAACTATAATTATTCAAACTTTAAACTCAGTTCACCAGAGCTGATAACAATCAGATTCAATACTTCTGAGTAAACATAACTCAATTTAGTTTCTTGGGATTGTGTTACTCAACCAAGAAAGTTTGGTGGCCTTGGTATCCATTCATCTAAGGAAGCTAATCAAGTGGCTATGGCCAAAGTCCACTGGAGACTCCTCACTGAAAAAGAGAAACTTTGGGCTCATGCTTTTTGGGCTAAATTTAAGATTGATGGTCCTAAGAGTAATATCAATAAGGCCTCTCCTGTACTTAGAAATGTTGCTAAGGGCAAACACATCCCAGAGAAAGGAATTCAATGGGTTCTAGAACAGGTGCAAATATCTCCTTTTGGCAAGACTGATGGCTTGGTAAAGAACCTTTAACCTCTATTTTAAGTGGCCCCATTACTATGGAAGCTACTAGTGTAAGAGTCAAAGATATTGTTCTTGATAATGGAGGACTTGATGAGGCAGTGATTAGCTACCCCATACCTCCTGATCTTTTTGAAAAAATTAGAGCCATTCCTATGCAATTGAATGGTTCTGACAATGATAGTTTTTGTTGGAATTACTCTCCTGATGGCTTATTTCAAACCAAGTCTGCTTATTGCCTTGCAAAAAATCTTCCTCTTACTCAATTTACAAACTAGTCTTGGATTTGGAAAATTGATGCTCTCCCTAGAATTCAATATTTGATTTGGTTATTGTTCCATGGGAGGCTACTTACTTTTGACACTTTATTTAATTGGGGTATATCTGGTTCTAATGCATGTCCTCGTTGTCAAGGGGCCCTGAAACTCTTAACCATCTTTTTAGGGAATGTGTATTTGCATGTTGTCTTTGGTCTGGGATTACTGCTCCTCCTGATACTATTAGCTATCAAGAGCTTGATTTTCAGAGTTGGCTTAAAGCACATTGCACTCACAAGGCTGCAAGTTATACTAATGGCTGGAGCACTATGTTTTCTTTTACCATTTGGGCCATTTGGTACTTTAGAAACCAATTAGTTCATAACAAGCATCACTCCTCGGTTTTTGAAGTTAAGGATTTTGTCTACAAAAAAGTGGGAGAGTTCATTCAAGCTCTTAATGTTCCATCTACTAGAAATTCTCTTATCACTATTCATGTTGGTTGGACTACCCCTTCTTCTGGTTTCATCAAGCTGAACACCGACGGCTTAGCACTTGGTAATCCAGGTCTTGTCGGCGCTGGTGGAGTGTTTAAAGATGAGCTTGGTAGGTGGATCCCGGGGTTCTCCCATCATGTTGGGCACACCACTAGCTTAGCTACTGAAATTTGGGTAATCTGGGATGGGTTGTCTATTGCCTTAAGCAAGGGCTTTAATAAACTTGTGCTGGAAACTGATTCAAAGACTGCTATGGCTCTGATTGATAAATGTAATTGTGATCATCACTCATTGGGTACTCTTGTTACTGATTGCAGGTTGTTGTTGGGCCACATTCCTGATTTGCGGATCAAACATATATATAGGGAGGCTAATGCTGTTGCGGATCAGCTTGCCAAGAAGGGAGCCAAGTCTACTACTCATTTTGTTATGTATAATAGTTGTCCTACTGATCTTGGCCATATTTTGTACTCGGATACTGTTGGGAATCTATTTCCCAGAATTGTTATTCCTGTCTAAGTTTATTTAATCTACTTGTCTATTACCAAGAAAAAAAAGGATAACTCAATTAATTTGTAGGTGATGTTATAAGGACAATTTTTTTATATCATTTTTTGATATAACTTTTACATGTTATTAAATAAGTAAATGCATTCAATATCACAGGTCCCATATGAATAAATAAACAATTATTTAAATGACACGTCAAGTTATATCAAAAAGTAGTACCAAAAAATTATCTCAAAATTATTTCCCTTACTTTATTACTTTAAAATAAATTTAAAATAATAGATTACAAGAAATGGCCATCAGCAACTGTAACTATATAAGACTTAGAAAGCAAAAGTCTCAATTATGAGAGAAAATTGTCTTGATTAAAGGTCACCCCATAGCTTAAAAAGCTGAAGCATGGGAAAATCGTTCTGTTTTGAGCCTTTAAAATTATTCCAGGGGTCTGATTCAGTTTTAGTTAAAAAATTATTGAAGCATGAGAATATATATTACTTAGCTGGATATTTTCATGTAGAAAATGAATGAATTTTTTTATATACAATTCTTATTAAATAATTTTATTTGATAAAAAAATTTTAACTGTCACTTATTTATTAGTACAAAAAAATATTTTTTTAGTTTGAACTGTATATTAAAAATGTAATTCTAATACTAAAATATTACAAGGTGTTTATTTATAGGCCTATACAAGAGAGTATCCTATGGTACAAAATCAATTAACCTAATTATATAGATCAATTATAATGTGAACCCAATCAACATAATTATAATAATAATATTCTGTAACATCCCCCTCAAACTCAAAATGGTGACGAGGAGACCAGCTTGAATTTGGAAAGAAAAGTGTAGAAACGTCCAAGAAAGTGAGTTTTTGGTGAAAAGATTTGCATACTAAATATGCAGATTGGTGCAGTCGACGTCGCTAGAGGAGAATGAGGCAATATCAGATCTGGACAACAGCAATGTCAAAAGTTCAATTGCAAGAAATCAAGAGCAAAATCAACGGCAATTGAATGTGAGAAGGCTGGAGCAACACTGGCCATGAGAGTAACACGTATTGTTAACGCAACAAATGAATAGGATC